GGTGGTGGTTCTGGCAGCTGATGATGATGTGCTACTGGCAAACGAAAGAGTTCCAGAGTGTATTCACTGCAAAATCGCGCGCCAGCTCAACTGAATAGCGACATTTATTTTCATTAGCCTTTTCTCAGTCTATTGGGAATTTTTTTGTGACTTGCCTAAACTCTCACTTTCCCCTCAATGGCTACAGTTAATCAGTTAATTATTAGTTAATTATCAACTCCGCTTTTTTTCTTGGGTAATTTCAGTGGCACTCTGTAGGTCTAANGTGTATTCACTGCAAAATCGCGCGCCAGCTCAACTGAATAGCGACATTTATTTTCATTAGCCTTTTCTCAGTCTATTGGGAATTTTTTTTTGTGACTTGCCTAAACTCTCACTTTCCCCTCAATGGCTACAGTTAATCAGTTAATTATTAGTTAATTATCAACTCCGCTTTTTTTCTTGGGTAATTTCAGTGGCACTCTGTAGGTCTAATTAGCGGCTGCACTTTCTCCGTTTATTATTTTTGCGTTTTTTGTTAAATAACATTTTTTTGTCTTTCCATTGGCCTTCAAATTATTTCTGAAACTGCCTGTGGTAAACTTTTTTTGGGATTGTTAATTAGTCGAGTGAAATAATTGGGGTTCAAAACACTTTTTTCGTATTGTTTCAGCTTCATCTGTTGCAGATAGTATGGTGTATATTCAAATGACTGCATATTATTAACACCAAAAAATAACGAAAAAATATTTGTAGTTTAAAGAGCACAGAACGAGCATCATATTGTACCGAAGTGGTGGCAGCAAATGGGCATCATCAATTCATTACAACACATAATTTTTACTGCCAATTTGTGTGCTGTGCTGCCGTGCAATGCTGAGCACATAAATTAGTCATTTGTTCGTCTGATTCACAATTGCCAACTGGCTCAAATTACAGGAAAAGGCTATTATTGTTCGCTTGAGGTTTCCTAGCTGAAACGAAGGGGCTCGATTTTGTTAGTTCCACTGACCGAGCAAATGATGAATGACCGAGCCTGTCAGCGGTAATTGGCAAAAAGGACAGGTCAGCAAAAGCGAAAACAGTAGAGAGGAAACAGAGATAGTAAGGCTGATTGTTTATTTATTTATGAGAGCGAGAACAAGAGATTGCCAATGGTTAGAGTTTTGGTTTTGGGTTTTGCTTCTTTTTTTGTTGTTGTTGTCTCTGTTGGCTTGTTTATTACTCTATTGACTTTGCTTTTCTCAAATTTTCCCTATTTCCGCCGCCAGGTAATATCATTCACTTCAGCTCACCAATGCGCAAATTCGAGCCGAACACGGCCACCGTCCTCACCTCAGCTCATGGCCATGGCACCCTGCACCGGCGGTACATTGGCCACTCTTATCTCGCCAATGACGGCCCCTCGCCCTCCTCTTCCTCCTCCAATGCAACCACCTCCTCGCTGTTCGCCACCCTGCCACGTGGCACCAGTGGGGCGTCCACCAATGCTGTCCTCTCCTCGGCACATGCGCACTTGAGCGGCTCTAATATGCTTATAGACGCCGGAAATAAGCAACAACAAAGTTACATTTACATACAGCATTTAGCTGGGCCGGAAACGGAATCGCCTGTAAACGATGGAACGTGAACAAATCAAGCAAAAATCTGTGCATAAAGAAAAAATTGTGATTGTCCATTTTTTTTGTATACAAACACTCCATATCTGGAGGCTATTTATTTTTGTTAACTTCACTGCACATAAATTGTCTTCACCATTGTCATTTCACTTCCGAACAAATAATAATAACGACGCACAAAAGCTGACAATTAGAAAGGATTTATCACATTTTCATCTTTTATTTTTATGTCACAATTCTTAACACAATTGATGATAAACTGTTATTGTTTAAAATAAACAAAAAAGAGTTTTGCCAGCACAATAAAATATCCATTTTAAAAGGAAAAAATGTTTATTGCTTGGGGTCAAAACGAGTACAATTTTAATTTTAAAAATTAATTTAGCATATTTGCTGTTTAGTCAAACGTTGGGGTAGACAAACGGTAAAATTTATCAGCAAAACACATAGACATTTTTTGTTGTAGTAAATGCAAACACCAAAAATAATTTTACGCATCACTGAACGTTAATTATAATTAATCAAAAACAATGGCCTTTGAAAAATTATTAATTTGCTGTGCATCAGAAGCCAGTATATGTCAATTTTTGTTTACAATTTTAATAAAGTAAAAAATCATAACTTTATTCTTCTACGATTTGTTAATACTTTTTCTGCTGTTTGCTAAACTGGGCAAAATAAATTACTAGTTTTGTTTTTTGACTGCAACAAGAGATAAAAGCGTCAAAATATTTCAAATACTAATTTTCAGTCATTTATAAATTGCTTTATAATTTTATAGTCAATAACAACATTTGTAAAAAATCGATTGCACAGTACATCAATTTCTAAGAATAAGCTGATTAACTAAAAATGATCAAAATGTGTTTTTACAAAAAAATAATTTTTATCATTTTTTGTAAATCAACTGACAATTAATTTTAAATATTTTAAAAAAATAAATTTTTTACGCAAAAAGTTAAAATAAAAGTCAATATAAACACTTTACAAACAGTTAATTTAACGCATCAGCGGGTTTGTGGTAATAGTTTTTACTGCTTTATAAAAATGAGTTTAAACTTAATATTTGAAAAATATAATATTCAGAATCAATTTTAAAAAAACCTTACAATTAAATGCCTTTTAAAAACAACTTGTCGTTTTGACAATAAATCATCATAAAGGCATAACTTTAATAATAAATAGACGATAGTTTTTCGTGAGTAAAATTTTTATTGATAATTTTTCCAAATAGCTGTCTAGTGTAATGATAATAAATAGAGCTTTAAGAAGCTATGGGCATCGTTTATTATTATCATCTACACAATTATTACTAATCACACATCGATTATGCGCAGTTAAATTACCTATAAACTGCAAACAAACAAACATTACATTTGAAACCCTCTTCCAAATGTTGACATTTTCATTTACAATCTAAAAACACAAGTGGTTCATTATAAAAACCAAATCAAAAGCACTCTTACATTACAAAATGTATTTTTTAAATTAGCAATCTGTTTATGTTTTAAAAAGTTACAATTTTGCAATTTTTAATTTTAAGAAATGTAATTTAAAATCAGAAAAAAACTCTAAATTAGCAGTTGAAGATTATAAATTATAGATAAAAAGTCTTCATGATGTTGTTGAAAACATTTGTAGCAATTTCCTTTTCTCTTTAATTTAAACATTACACAAACTGGTAATTTTAATTTTTAATTTAGAAACTTTAAGGAGAGTGGAATCTCAATTGCAATTTTAAAGTTACACTTTGTCCGCAAACTTGTTTTTTATTTCCTCATTTTCTGAAAAGAGTTTCATTTTAAAAATTTTTTAACTTTAGTTGTAAGTCAACTCTAATAACAATTTCTTCATATTTGGTGTAAATAACTTTAAACAATTATATTTTTATATAATTTAGTCAAAAGCAAAAATCCAGTTTTGTCGAACACTTATAACTCAAACGGATTAAAAATTGGTTAATTTTTACTAGTATATTTAATAAAATAACAAATGGCAAGCAATTATTAATTTATAGTTTCTTTAAGTGTAAGATTATAGCGGAAAAAGATTAGTTGTTAAATTGATAACTAATCATTCATTTAAAATACCAAAGTAGTAAAATACATATTTTCTAAAATGATTACTTAAACTTTTATTTCCTGTAAATAACAATAAATTGAACTCATCTTTGCCTCTTTTAATCTATAATCTTTTTAGCAATTCTATCAAAATTCGCCTTTCCTTTCTTTTTTCTAATCCGCCAACTTGCCACTTTTCCTTTGACCGTCTCAATTCAACTTCTTGAAGCTGTCGACTTAACGGCTTTTCCTATTTTGTAAAAACTTCACAGCTAAGTGTTATGTTTTTGCTGCCTTTTCTAATCCACAACGGACTTGAATTTTTTTAAAACTAGTACAAAAATGTAATTGTTTGTACTACGTTTTAAGCTGTACAATTTGATGTTTTTTGTAAGATTGTTTGTACAGAAGCAAAGATAACAATAATAACTGTACAAAGTTTAAAACAAAGAAAATGAAAAATCGATGTTTTAAAAAATATTTTTATATATTTTTTCATATTTGAAGTATTCAGCAAAATAATGGTCATTTTTATACTTGAAAATTGCTTTTATAAAAATTAGAATTTTAGCTTTTTATCTCCAACTTCCGCCAATTAATTTTTGCACTTGAGCAGCAAATTGATTGCGCGATATGGTGCAAGAACAAATGGACGGTAATTTGTTGTTGTTGTATTAATTCAATTGCCATTGAACATTCTGCTGGCGACTTGTTTAGACACAAAACTTTCAAACACTGTATAAACAATAATTTGTTTGCCATAAATTAACATTTCAAGTCAAACAAATGATATAAAAAATATATTACATCAGAAAACGTTTGTAAATTTGTTCAGTTCCGTTTTAGAACCAACAAACTTGTTTTATTAAATTTTTCAAACGGCACACAACTTTTAGCGCTTATTTATGTTTATTATTTTTAAAGTTAATTAATTTATAAATTTAATTTTATGAATCAGCCATCTTCCGGAAATCGCTCTAAGCAATGTTAATTAGTTTGATGGTCCCTTTTCTATTCAAACATCATTGTTTTCTCTAACGAGAAATACTAAATTTTATTTAAAATGAAATTGCAACTAATCAGTTTAAATATTTTTTGTTTAAAAATATTTTTACTTATTTTGGCAATGTTTGAGAAAAATCAAAAAATATCTCAATTTGTGAAAAAAAACTATCCAACCAGTACTTTTCGGGTTTAATGTAAAAATGAATCAAAATTAACAAACATTTTTATTAAAACACAAACCGTGCTTTCGTAAGCCAATCTCTTGAAGTAAAAAGTACCATCCTATCTCAAGAAATCAAGGAAATGTTGGCCACCTTGCGTGGCTGTCTCGTCATACATCTCGTTGAGAGCATCTCGTTGAGGCCAATGGGAACCATAGGCTCGCCCCAGTCGTTGGTGGCAATGACGACGCCCAGCTCTGGCGCAGCCGTTGTCAGGAGGAACTCGTGTTTTTCTCCATGAGCATAGACACGAGCGAGGATAATGTCACCGGGAGAAAAGCAGCGGCTTATGACGATTTTATCCTTGTCGTAATCTCGAATGTCTTCAGTGCGAATGACGCCACCATAGGGCACCTTTAGGGTGTGATCCTCAACACAGTGTATTGAACATTTGACCAGGTTTGATTTGATGTACAACACTCGAGCTGTGACAATAGATCCTGGTTCAGGGAAAGGTACCTTCTTCGAACCAGGGCGCACCACGCGGACGACTCGTTTGCTGATTGTGCTTTGAGATTCATTCAATGAAGTATTCATGTTGCCGGAAGCTGCTTCAACGGGCTTTTCACTCTCTTCTTTTATCAACTCAATCTCCAGCTGACCGGCTAAAGACGCGTAGATGTAGCCATTCTTCAGATATGTGCCCGTTGATGCGATAATGTTTTTGTCGTGTGCCAGTATGCAGTCACCTGGTAGAACGAGGACTTTACTTTCGGCGCTTCCGAGCAGGGATTCGCTGGTATTTTGGGTTGATGTTGACGCCATGATTCGCAGTTGAAGTTTCAAAGTTGAGAATCAGCACGAGCCAGCGCAAAAACTGAAACGATGAGAAGTCAAAACAAACCGCACCAGTGGCACGTGCAAAAAAGTCTGTTTCCACAAGAGAGGCTCGCGCTCAAATGAAAACAAACGAATCTCGCGCAGATTTGGCAAAAATGCCTTGATTCTTCATCTCATTATCTCATCTATATTCAAAAAGTGTTATCACCTTCATCTAAAGCTGGAAAAGAGAGCTGAACATTCGGTAAGTTATAAGCAACCCAATGCTTATTTTTATATTTTAGATAATCGATGATATTCTTGATGTCATTGTCAGCATTGGCGTTACCTTGAAAAATCAGATGCATATCTTGATATTTTTCTGACAACATATCTCGTAATTAACGCATTGTTTTTACCTTTCTGAAGGAGTAGCCGATGGTTCAGTTACATCACCATCTGTACAGCAATTAAAAAGTCGTCCTGTACAGTAATGTCCTGTCATGTAGTGGTAGAGCTTGCTACCAGTGACCGTTAGCTGAGAAGCGTCCTCAAGCTGTGTTGTTGATACTGCGAAGTTTGCAGACACTACTGCCAGAGAAGTACACACCAAACGCACTGAGCAAACAGTGTGTGTTGACGTCTTATCGTTCACGAGGTAATCCTCTTCTTTTCACTTGAAAGCGCCACTTTCTTTGCATCAGTCTTCACTATCATTTTCGTGACAGATCAAGACCGCCCTACATTTTGTGCAGGACATGCAACTCATCTGTGGCAATCATCATCACCATCAGCATCAGTAGCAGCTGTCTAGTGGCGGCAAAGAGCAGTGGTGAAAGAGAGCAACAACAATTGCTCTCTGGTGGCGGTGGTGGTCACCGGTCAAAAACTGCCAGTGTCAACGCCCCCACCTCGCTTTACCGTGATCACCTAGGTTACCTAATTCGTCCTAATCACTCTGCTTTTCCACTAAATCGGCCCACTCAATGATCGTTTGCTTTGGCCGTCGACAGACTTGTCTCTTCTTTGTTTACCTTTCTCAAGAAGAGAGGACAACCTACGCACAATATCAACGGCCATCATTACCTCATCAGTTCATTTTATAATAATAGCAGGCCAAAGATGTCCTCTCGGCCGACATCGTCGTCGTCGTCCTCACCCGATCGCTCGGAGGACTCGAGCAGTCCACCAGCTCAGCATCCAAGCGCATCGATATCAACTCCACCTCGGACACTCTCTAGTTCAATAGCCATTCCAAATCCAGCCATTAACTCGCTTGCCTGGTACGTTCTTTTAATTATCTGGTCAGCAATTGTTGTTGTGACTCTAAACACCGGATCTTCTTTCCTCCATTAGTGATCATCAACTTTCCTCCACACCGCACACCAATGAAGTCGAGCCAATACCGGCGTTTGTCGCCTCCAAGACGACTCGCCGTGATCTCTACCGAAAGCGCTCCTACAGCTGTGCGCCCAAAACGAACCGGAGCTCACGGCTGTCGGCCGCTTCCGCTCTCATACAGTCGCAGTCCTCCTCCTCATCCAGTCACTCTCGACGTCCCAAGTTCACCCGAACCCGCACCCTCAGCAACGAAAATCTCATCAGCAACATGTTTGACGACTCTGTCCTTCTGGAGCACGAAACCAACAGCAGCCGTGTACTGTCGCCCACCAGCGAACACTACCTGGGCGCCACGCCGAGCACCGTGGAGATTGAGCATAACTCTAATCAGATCTCCAACCTGTCTGCGTCGTTCACCGCCTCAGGACGGCACAACCCCGATGCTCCGCCATCCAGTAAATTCGAGTCACTTGACTACGATCAGTGCGAAAATATGCTTCAAGTTGAGGAAGAGATTATGAGTAAACGGTAGGTTATCTCTGGCACTTTCTTTAGAAAAAGAGATGATATTTCATTCATGTGCTTTCATTGAAGAAATGGTCTCGATAAGAATTTGGAGTTCACCCGATGGATCGTCATCTGTATGATTGGCATTCTTACCGGGCTTACTGCCTGCTTCATTTTGTTTTCCGTGGAAGAGTTGACCAAGTTCAAGTATACTAAAATTATGGTAAGTTGATGTGATTTTTATTTTTAACAACAAGTTACTGTTAACTTTATTTTTTGCAGTACCTTTTCGAAGGCATCGACGCTGATCCCAACTTTTGGACGCTTATGAAGCCTTACCTCGTGTGGCTGCTTTCAAACGGCTTTCCAACGCTGTTGGGCTCCGTTCTTGTTACTTACATGGCGCCTGTGGCTGCAGGGTCAGGCATTCCGGTCATCAAGTGCTACTTAAACGGTGTTAAAGTTCCTGAAGTGGTGCGCATCAAGACGTACTTTGCCAAGGCAATCGGCGTCATCGGCTCAGTGACGGGTGGTTTGGCCTGCGGCAAAGAGGGGCCGATGATTCACTGTGGTGCTTCCATTGCCGCCGGAATCAGTCAGGGGAAAAGCACCACCTTTGGGTGGGACTTTCAGCGACTAGTCGGCTTGACTCGTTTTAGGGAGGACCACGAAAAGCGAGACTTTGTTAGTGCCGGTATGATATTTTTGTGTGTATATGCTGTGTATTTTCTGACCATTTTACTTTGATTAGGTGCTGCCGCCGGAGTGTCTGCCGCCTTTGGAGCTCCCCTTGGAGGCGTGCTGTTTGCGCTGGAAGAAGGCGCCAGCTTCTGGAACCAGCAGCTAGTCGTGCGAATCTTTTTTTGCTCACTCATCAGCTCCTTCTCGCTCAACTTTATCGTCTCGGTGGTCAGCGGGCAAAAGCTGGGCGCCTCGGGTCTGCTCAACTTTGGCAAGTTTCAGGACATTGACTACAGCTGGTTCGAGATGCCCATCTATGCGGCGATGGGCGCTTTCGGGGGCTTGACGGGAGCGGCGTGGAACTACTTAAATATGAAAATTACCATCTTACGAATGAGGTATCTGAGGAGTAGTTGGTCAAAGGTGGCGGAAGCAGTGGTTGCCTCGCTGCTCACTGCGAGCATTGGCTTTCTCATGATTATCCTGCTGGGTGATTGCTACTCGCTGAAAACCGAAGAGACTGAATATCCAGTTGGCTACGGCTGTCCTAAAGGTGAGAAGCTTTGCTGTACTGATCATTTAAAACTGACACTTCTGTTTGGTTTACCACACAGGACAGCACAATGTGATGGCTGCGCTGTGGTTCAATACACCCGAGGCGACACTGCGCAATCTGTTCCACAACAAGGACGGCACTTGGACGGCTCAGACGTTGTGCATTTTTGTGGGAACATACTTTTTTGTTTCCTGCGTTACTTACGGCAAGTTTAAAGTGCTTTTTTGAACTTTCAGTGACAACGGAATTCATTTTCTAGGTCTCTACGTTTCTGCTGGCCTCTTCATTCCTGGCCTTCTTCTCGGCGCCGCCTGGGGCCGCCTCTTTGGCCTGGTTCTCAGTCATCTCTTTACAGAACAGGCGTGGATCTGCCCGGGAAAATTTGCACTGATTGGAGCTAGCGCTAGTCTGGGTGGCATTGTCCGCATGACCATCTCCCTCACTGTGATCATCATCGAAACGACGGGAAACCTCAGCTTTGGCCTGCCGATCATGATCACGGTGATCATCGCCAAGTGGGTCGGCGACCTGTTCACCGAATCAGTCTACGACATTCACATTGAACTGTCGAGAGTGCCCTTTCTAAGCTGGGAGCCACCGACAAACTCTGCACGAGTGTACGCCTCTGAGGTGATGCACAAACCGGTGGTCAGCTTGAAGACGACTGAGACGGTGAAGACGCTGCTGAATGTGCTCATCAACACTACGCACAATGGATTTCCAGTCGTCGATGCGGAGAGCAGCTTCAGCCATGTGCGCACTTACGGGCGGTACAGGGGACTCATCTTGAGGTATGAGACCATTGTTTAACTGGCCACAATCTAATGAGAACACTCTTTACTTGCAGATCTCAACTTCTGGTCATGCTAAAGGCGAAAATCTTCAACGAGTACAGCCTCGAGTCTCCGTGGAGAAACATGTACTCGCTGTTTCGCAACTCCTACCCTCGAATGCCCGAACTGCGGCTGATTCTCGCCGAGCTGGAGGATCACGAGTTGGAGTACACACTGGATTTGCGACCTGTGATGAATCCGAGCGCCTACACCGTCTGCCACGCAGCTAGCTACAATCGCATATTTCGACTGTTTCGCGCACTGGGCCTGAGACATATTGTCGTGCTCAATGACTACAATGAGGTGGTGGGCATTGTCACGAGGAAGGACCTGGTTATCCACAATAGTGGCTCACACTGAGG